CTTATTTATTTTTATAAAAACTCAAGGTATTATTTAGCGTTCATCCATCTTCCGGGATTCTAATTGAGCCAATAGTAACGAAAAATGAATAACACCTGCTTTGCTGACTCCTTTGCTGAAAGAAGGGCTTAGAGATTGAATGATTTTACCCCAAGAAAACAGTAATGGGAACTCATGAAAGGTTCACTCCATACTTTTTAATTAGGTGCATGAGCTTGTTGAAAAAAGTGATACTTTTGGAAAGACCGATGGCTGATTAAGCCAAAGTCAAACATCTGTAAGGAAGAAAAATTGTTTGACCGCGTTACTAACAGGAACTGCTAGTTACAGAAACTGAAGCAAGTTTGCCTGAGAATTTACCATTGAAATAGAAGGAGCGGAGGTTGACCGGTTTTGTCCCTCTTAGTTCAATTTAAGGTCACCTAGGCTCACAGGTAACCATTTTAAGAAATATTCAAATTTGTTCTGTCATAAAAGATAATTTTCAAGATTTTCCAAATTTTAGATAGAAGTCAATTTTGGGCACGTTTGTTTCAAATTTTAAACTTGACGATATAACTGGCGATTCTAACTTGCACAAAATTAAAGGTGTAGCTTTGTAATGACTTTGGCAACTTGTCATTCCGTTTGCGTGTGAATCGTATTCATGTCTCACAGGAGATTTTGGTTCATGTTTCCTGCATTTTCCTCTCCTTCAGATTATCAGTTCATCCTCTCGACGGAGAACTGCCTATTTTTCGACGGTTCCAGCCCATACTTAAACCCGGCCCACTTGCGTTTGTCTGGTGTATCCGTTCCCGGGGGACATACTGCTGCACACACGAGCCAAGCACCTCAGCTCATATTGAATATGTGCAGGATGCAGCAGGTACAAGAAGCACCAAATGGTTTTGGAGCATTTCTGGGACGAGGTCTTATTGGACATTTTCAGATGACATTTTAACTAATATTGTCAATAGTCAGTTCTTCAGGAAATGCTCTCAATATATTTTATCTACTACACTGGACACGAATCACATTTGGTAAGGGAATCACAGGCGTTTATATATAACTGTGAAGCAATCAGATTGTTCGACGGGCAAAATTAAAGTCTTTCGTGGACCAATCACGAAAACACAATTGATGCAGTAAAACAAAATACTCTAGAAGCTATGTGACCGTTTTCTTTAACACTCGTAATCATTCGCATATCCTTTCACTCGACTG